AGTGATTGGGCCCCTGAACCCACATGAGAGTGCTTGGTTTGAGTCCTGATACTACATACGATTCTAGCACATCTACTAATGTAATAGATGAAAACAGCTCAAGTACTTGGTAATGCCAGAGAGGTGGACTGACTTCTGGGCTCCTGGTTCAGGATGGCCCAGCCCTAGCTGTTGTAGGCATTTGGTGAGTGAATCAGCAAATGCAAAATATTTTTTGTGTGTCTATATGTATGTTTGTGTCTTCCTTAAAAATAAATTTAGAAAAGAATAGACAGTCATTATATTATACACTGCTGTAAATGATGAAGACTTTGGTTCAATTTTTTTTTTTTTTTTTTTTTTTTTTTTTTTTTTTTGACAGGCAGAGTTAGACAGTGAGACAGAGAGACAGAGAGAAAGGTCTTCCTTCCGTTAGTTCACTCCCCAAATGGTCGCAACCGCCGGAGCTGTGCTGATCTGAAGCCAGGAGCCAGGAGCCTCCTCCACGTCTCCCATGTAGGTACAGGTGCCCAAGCACTTGGGCCATCCTCCATTGCCCTCCCGGGCCACAGCAGAGAGCTGGACTGGAAAAGGAGCAACCGGGACTAGAACCCAGTACCCATATGGGATGCCGGCGCCACAGGCGGAGGATTAGCCAAGTGAGCCACGGCGCCAGCCGACTTTGGTTCAATTTTAACAGCACTAAACTCCATGGTGCATTTCCCTAGGGCAGACCTTGGTAATCAGAGAATTAATTACTTCTAATTAAAAGACGGAGGTTAACAGCAAAACAAAATGACAAAAAAACGATTTTTTCAAGGGATTAGCTAGATGACAAGTGCACAGTTCTCTGAGGAAAGACCAAACAGCACCATAGACAGGGACTCCTCCCACAGAAGGGATAGGCTGCACCCTGCACCAGCCCAAAATGCCCCAGAGAAGTATCAGCACCAAGTGACGTGCTGGGGACACCAGTTACCAACAAGAACTGCAGCTGACTGGGCTCCCCATAATCACAGCAAGCTTCAGGAATCACAGTCACTGTGGAAACATACACACAACTATCCTTCTCAAAGTACCTAACACACAGGCCTGGACCCAGACACGCAGGGCTCCTGAGGCTCAAGCCCTGAGCACTAATGACTGCTGCCAGCACTCGGTGTCCTTGATGCCCTTACGGAAGCATTCAGCTGTGTTCTCTTCCAGAAGAGCCAAGAAACTTGGGGCCAGCGCCGTGGCACAGCGGGTTAGAGCCCTGGCCTGCAGCGCCGGCATCACATATGGGCACTGCTGAGTCTCAGCTGCTCTGCTTCTGATCCAGCTATCTGCTATGGCCTGGGAAAGCAGTGGAGGATGGCCCAAGTCCTTGGGCCCCTGCACCCACGTGAGAGACCAGAAAGAAGCTCCTGGCTCCTGGCTTCGGATCGCCTCAGCTGCAGCCATTACAGCCATCTGGGGAGAGAACCAGCAGATGGAAGACCTCTGTTTCTACCTCTCTCTGTAATTCTCTTTCAAATAAATAAAATAATCGCTTCTCGGCCTTTTGGCTAAGATCAAGTGTAGTATCAGTTTAATATCAAGTAAATAAAATAAATCTTTAAAAAAAAACAAGAAACTGCAACTGTCTCGCCCTGTCTTACAATTCGTCAAACCCAGATTTATCCACCTTCGTATTCCAGAGCATCCACCTGCACAACACACCTGCAGTCTCGCGTTCTGCAGCTGCTGCGCCACTGCAAGCACCCGAGCAGCGACACATCTATGTTCACTTCAACCTCAGATTCTAATGAGGAGATTTCGTAAATTAGGCAAATACAGTAATTTTTCAAAGTTTTTCCTTAATATTAATCACAATAATTAACATTCATTGAACAATTACAGGAGGGTGGCCCAGGTGCTTGGGCCCCTGCACCCACATGGGAGACCCCGAGGAAACTCCTGGCTCCTGGCTCCCAGCTCCAAACCAGCCCATCGCCAGCCATTGCAGCCATTTGGGGAGTGAACCAGCAGATGGAAGACCTCTCTATCTCTCTCTGCCTTTGTCTCTCTGTAACAATGTAACTTTAAAGAAATCTTTTTTAAAAAATGGTCTCAGAATTTAAAGCATTTTAGATTTTAGATTTCGGGAACAGAGATACTCATCCTGTTTAACAAAGTGTTTATAATTTTACATGGAAAAAGGACTTCAAATTTCTAGTTATAAGCAAAGGCAAGTTACGTATCTTTTCACAATGCACAGACACGTGGTGTAAAGCACACCCAGGAAGTGTTGACACTGGCAAGCCCGTGGAGGGATTACAGGTGACTCTGTGCACCATCACACTCTACCCTGCTGTCTACATTCTCTATCCTCAGCACATATTCCTCCTGCATACCAGAGGATATGAACTTAGACAAATGCAATTTACACTGATCACTGAATAAACAGTCCTGCAATTCCATTTGTCCATGATGACATTAACAATTTTTAAATTTCTGGTGGGGGCCAGCATTGTGGTGCAGTGTGTTCAGCCTCTGCCTGCAAAGCCAGCATCCCATGTGAGTGCCAATTCGAGTTCCGGCTGCTCCACTTCTGATCCAGCTCCCTACTAATGTACCTAGGAAAGCAGTGGAAGATGGCCCAACTGCTTGGGTCCCTGCCCGCACGTGGCAGACCCAGATGGAGTTCCTGGCTCCTGGCTGCAGCCTGGCCCAGGCCTGAACATTGCAGGCATTTGGGTAGTAAACCAGTGGATTAAAAATCTCTGTGTGTCTCTCTCTAAATAAATAAAATAAATCTTTGAACAAAAAATTTTAAAATTTCCTGTTGGAAACATTCTTTCCAGCTTTAGCACACTCAAGGAATGCTATGACTATTGTGTATGTGATAAGACACCAAAATTTAATCAAGACAACCTAACGTAATCTAAAATAAAATTTTCAATCATCAGTAATACTCCAAATCATAGCTTTCAGTTGTCCTATTTCAATGTCCTATTCTGTTACCCACACTGCCGCTATTACGGCAATTTCTTACCAGTGGAGACGGCTATGAGGATATAAGAGTGGTGCAGCAGCACTACCAATGTAGGCGCAAGTAAGAGCTAAGATTCTACTGGATAAAGCAGAGCAGACTCAACCCTGACGGCCTCCCAGGGGGTACCTGGCAGGCAGCCACCTCCCCGTGTTACAAATAAGCAGGCGCTGCCCATCATGGTGTGCAACAGGGAACCCGAGTCTAGCAAATCGATCCATCAGTAGTACTGCTGGGATACACAAGGAGGACAATTTTCTCAATTTTAAGGAACAAAGATATAATGCTTAGAGATGAGATTCCCAAAAGGAGGGCATCTCATCACTGATACACACCTCCTGACTGATTTTAGGTGGTCCAGGGCAAAACTTTTGGTTAAAATCTTAAAAAAAAGAGCCGGCGCCGTGGCTCAATAGGCTAATCCTCCACCTTGCGGCGCCGGCACACCGGGTTCTAGTCCCGGTAGGGGCGCCGGATTCTGTCCCGGTTGCCCCTCTTCCAGGCCAGCTCTCTGCTATGGCCAGGGAGTGCAGTGGAGGATGGCCCAGGTGCTTGGGCCCTGCACCCCATGGGAGACCAGGAAAAAGCACCTGGATCCTGGCTCCTGCCATCAGATCAGCGCGGTGCGACGGCTGCAGCGGCGGCCATTGGAGGGTGAACCAACGGCAAGGGAAGACCTTTCTCTCTCTCTCTCTCTCACTGTCCACTCTGCCTATCAAAAAAAAAAAAAATAAAAATAAATAAAAAAAAAAAAGATGGAGGGGTGGGGGGAAGCATGAAGCGTGCAGACTGTGGCACAGTGGGTTAAAGCCCCGGCCTGAAGCACCAGCATGCCATATGGGCGCTAGTTCTAGTCCTGGTTGCTCACTTCCAATCCAGCTCCCTGCTGATGCATCTGGGAAAGCAGAAGAGAATGGCCCAAGTCCTTGGGCCCCTGCTCCCATGTGGGAGACCTGAAAGAAGCTCCTGGCTTCAGATCAGTTCAGCTCCAGCCGTTGTGGCCATTTGGGGAATGAACCAGCATATAGAAGACTCTGTCTGTCTGTCACTACCTCTCTCTGTAACTCAAATAAATAAAATGAATCTTTAAAAAAAAAAAAAAAAAAGACTTTTGGTTGATCCACTGAGCAACACCAAATTCCGCAGGAGAAATTAGTCCCTTCCTAGTGCTTGTTCATAACAGCAGATGCTGTTAAGGACTCGGTCTCACATGGGTAGAAGGATACCTTTATCACCTCCAGAACACTTGCTAATCTCCCTTCTACATAAAGAAAAAACAGGTCCCAGTCTCATGAGCCACAGAGTCTAGGTAAGAAATACTATGGAGTTTGTTGGGAGGCAGCAGTCCCAGCTGAAGAAGGAGTTCTGGGTAGAATGGCCAGAGGTTTGCCCCCTGTCACTTAGTAACTAACTGTGGGCAACCACTTCATCTCCGTGCCTCAGCTGCCTCACTTGTAAAACGAGGATGACAAGAGAGCTGGGGTAAGGGCTACATGGACAGCTCACGCAGAGTGTTCTGCACTCTGCCCAACAGTACGCAGGAATGCCTGCTGCCATGCATCTGTTCCTATTTAGTGTTGGTAATTCTGTACCGGCCATCCTAGTTTTCTATGTAGAGACATCAAAATATTTCCATCTTGTTTTAGGTAAGAAAGCACCACAGAGTGGACAGAAAGCAAGCATAAGAGCTGCCCAGCTCAGAGAGCCTCAGCACGAGGTCAACTAGCCAGGGCGGGGCCAAACCACCAAGAAATGAAGGCTTTGTCCTATTCCCCCAAAGCCCAGTTTTTCACCATGATGAGTCCCTGTCACCTTTTTACAGTCCCCCAAGATTCCTTCGTACCCTACCTCCCAGCACGTGCAGAGTCCACTCACACACTGCCTCTCCTCCTGACCTCTTTCCAGGCCACGGTGCCCAGCACAAGCACCAAGAAAGCCAGAGACTGGGGTGTTGCCCCCGACACACGGGCACCCTGATGATAAGCACTCCGGGCTGGAGCCAACTGACCTTCAGGGCTTTGAAGATGACCCCTGGGTGCCGGGGAGAGCGGGTGGTATTGTTCTCCAGCTGCTGCTCCAAAGCGCGCCGCAGCCCGGAGAAGTCGGTGGGAGGATTGTAAGTCCTCGTTCCCTTGTAGTGAATGGAGCTAAAGGCTTCAGGGAAGCGGCCCAGCTTCCGGAACCGGTCCTGGATGAGCTTCTCTGGCACCTCGGAGGGATGATCTGTACGAGCAGAAACACAGGCCCATGAGCAGCGAGTGGGGCTTTCTTAAAAAAATAACCACAACGGGGCCTGGCTTTCACAGTGAAGTCAGACCGGCCTGGACTCCACACGCACACCAGGAGAATTCGCTGGCCCTTGCCTGCCAGGGAACACGAGAAGGCTTCTAAGCAGAGGATGCTCATGGCTCCTGTCTAACACGGATCTCACGGGCGTGTTCAGGCTGTGGAAACACACCTGCTGGGTAGGTACTTCCCCACAGGTATATTTCAAAACTGAGTCTGAATTTTTTTCTAAATGTACTTATCCAAAACCAGGGAGACACACAGAGAGGTCCCAACCACTGATTCACTCCCCAAATATCTGCAATGGTGGAGGCCAGGCCATTCCAAAGCCAGGAGCTGGGAACCTGATCCAGGTCTCCAATGCGGTTGACAAGAACCCAGCTACCTGAATCATCACCTGCTGCTTCCCAGGGTCTGCGTTCACAGGAAGCTGGAATCAGAAGCTGAACTGGATGTGAACCAGGTACTCTGATGAGGTATGCACGCATCCCAACCAGTGGTTTAACCACTAGGCCAAATACCAGCCCCAGGAAGAGACTTTTCTTAAAAAGCTGTTCATTTTAAGAAACATCTAAACATACTAATTTCATAATATATATAATTTTAACTTTTTGATATATCCTCATATTTAACCAATCACCTACAAATGAACATTTAAAAGTCTATACTTTGGGATGTATGTTTGGCCTAGCAGTTAAGATGTCCAATGTCCCATGCCCAAGTACTTGTGTTTGATCCTCAGTTCCAGCTCCTGAGAGGCTTGGAGGCAGTGGTGATGATTCAAATAGCTAGGTTTCTGCTACCCATGTGGGAGACCACCCATGTGGGAGACCTGGCTTGAGTTCTGAGCCTCTTGGTCACTGAGAGTGAACCAGAGTGCGGGAGCTCACTCATTCTGTCTCTCTGCCTTTCAAGTTAATTAATGAACTTAAAAAGTAAAACAATTTTCTATAATTTGGAAGTCCTGGTCTTCATGTGATGCGGCTGTGATCAAAGTGCGTGTGAATAAAAGTCCTAGCTGCCGAAGACGTGACCAACTGTCCACAAACTTGGGCAGTGGGAGCACATGTAGGCTCAATGTCTTCAAGTGAAAGGCTGGAAGAAAAATCACCCCAACACTGACGACACTAGCCCAGACGGTAAAGCACAAAGACCGCCGTCAGGGACCCAGCCGTAGCTCCACAGCTACTTCCTACACCCAGCCTACCTGATCTTCCTCAGCGGCAGCTACCTTTGAAATCAGCAGGCAGTGCCCTGTGAGTAGCTCATCAGTCACCAACTACGGAGCGCAGCCTGGCAAATGACACTTCACTCCCGCATGACCTCGTGACTTGTCCCTGGATGCATGCACTGAATCGCTGCTCCCAAATGACTTGGTTCTCCTCATTTGTAAAGCAGAAACAGTTCACATACCCACTCCACTCCCCCCGAGGAGTGTTCTATAGAGCAAAATACACGATCAAACAGAAATGCAGAAAGCCTATGAGACTGAGAAAAATCTAATTATCAACTTGTCCACAATTCCACCACTTCTCCTACCCTGCATACAATCTTGCTGCCTTGTTTCCATCTTACGGCTACAAGCACCAGCAACGGTATTCCAGAAACAATCCCAATTTTGTAACTTGCTAGTGAGACCTTCTGATTACATAATCGAAGAAGCTGAGTTGAGAGGCAGGTGCCGTGGCATAGCGGGTGAAGCTGCCACCTGCAGTGCCAGCATCCCATGTGGGTGCCGGCTGCAGTCCTGGCTGCTCCACTCCCAATCCAGCTCTCTGCTATGGCCTGGGAAAGCAGTGGAAGATGGCCTAAGTCCTTGGGCCCCTGCACCCTTGTGGGAGACCCGGAGGAAGCTCCTGGCTCCTGGCTTCGGATTGGTGCAGCTCAAACCACTACGGCCATCTGGGGAGTGAAGCAGCAGACGGAAGACCCCCCCCCCCTCTAACTCCGCTTATTAAATAAATAAATTATTTATTTTTATTTTTTTTTTTTTTGATAACCAGCAGAGTGGACAGTGAGGAGAGAGAGAGAGAGAGAAAGGTCTTCCTTTGCCATTGGTTCACCCTCCAATGGCTACCGCGCTGCGGCTGGCGCACCACACTGATCCGAAGCCAGGAGCCAGGTGCTTCTCCTGGTCTCCCATGGGGTGCAGGGCCCAAGCACTTGGGCCATCCTCCATTGCACTCCCGGGCCACAGCAGAGAGCTGGCCTGGAAGAGGGGCAACCGGGACAGAATCCAGCGCCACGACCGGGACTAGAACCTGGTGTGCCGGCGCCGCTAGGCGGAGGATTAGCCTATTAATTAATTAGCCAAATAAATAAATCTTTAAAAAAAAGGCTGAATTCAGTTTCTGCATCTGTAAAACGGGTTTGTTACTGACTACACTGCGTAATAAAGTTGGAATTAAGTTAGTTGGCATTTATTTAGAAAACCTAGCACAGTGCAGGACACAAAGCAGAAAATAATTTTTGAGGAATTCTTTCTTTCTTTCTTTCTTTTTTTTCTTTTTTAAGGAATTGGTTATTTCAAAACCCTGAACTGGAGGGTCTGGCTCTGTGGCATAGGTGGTACACCCGTATAGGTGCCGGCTCCAGTCCCAGCAGCTCCACTTCCAAACCAGCTCCCTGCTAATGTGCCTGGGAGAGCAACAGGGAGACCGAGAAGAATCTCCTGGCTCGTGGTTTCAGATCGGGCCCAGCTCTAGCCATTGCAGCCATGTGGAGAGTGAACCAGCGGATGGAAAACCTCTTTCTCCCTGTCTCTCCCTCCCTCTGTCACTCTGCCTTTCAAATAAATAAATAAATCCTTAAAAAAAAAAAAGTTTTAATCATGAGAAGCATCCTAAAGTCAGCCTATCACCTCCTCTCCTTACCTTACAGTTGCTTGCTAATGAGTCTCTTCCTCCATTGTGGAACATAAAGATTTCTCATCTTCCTATGGGTCGGCAGTCCTTGGGACCACCACAATCTCGGGTCCTTCCCTTCAATCCCCCCTTAGGTTCCAGTCCACTCACTTCCATCCCACAGCCACCGCGTGGCTCAATCCCCATCACTCCTCACGCAGTGCTGTGACAATCTCCTGAGTGCTCTTCCTGTACCGGGCAGGCCCCTGAATTCATCCTGCAGCAGGCTCCCAAGGGACCTCCTGAAAGCAGAGCCCTGATCACGTAACACCCTGCCTCAGCTCCCTCAGGAGCCCCTCTCACACCCAAGCACTGCAGAAGGGCCCCCAGGGCCCCCCAGGGCCCGGGCCTCAGGGTCTCTACCATTCGGAGGTTAGAGCTGGAATTCTACTTTGATGTAGTCAAAAGCCACTGGCTGGTGGTGAGCAGGACTGTGACAAGGGTTAAATCACAAATGAAGCTTGGAAAAGCTCCCTCTAGAAAACGAACTGGAGGGGCTGGACTGGAACTCGGGAAGCTGCTGGCCCTGCAGGCAGAGGGGCGTGCTCCTCCCAGAACAGCCTTCTCTTCTACTTTCGGCATTCAAAACCCGCTTGGTCTTTCCTAGATCCCACCAGGAAGTACAGAGTCCCTCCCCTGCACTCCCACAGCTCCCACAGAACCCAACACTGTGTGGTCCCCCAGCCACACTGCCAGCTGTTCCAGGGAGGCCTTGTGTTCCAGCTCCCAGCCGCAGGCTCAGCACAGATGCGTACGCAGCAACTGCTAACTGAATGCACTGGTGGACGGTGGAAGAGTTTGAGGGCCCCACTGCATCCAGCACCTGCTCCATCCTCCCACTGAGGTGATGGCCTTGCTTCCCACTTCTCTAAACAGAAACACTCAGCCAAGAAGTTACACACACACTCCCTCACATCCATCTACTTGCCTGTTACCATGTCCATGTACGCCCCTTTCCCTCCTGCTGCCAACGGATGGACTGCCCGTGCTGCTAATGAAGCCCCGCCTCCCTTCTAAGCATCACCCATCCCAATCATCCCCACACTCTTTCTCGCACCCACACTGCTCCCTCTCTATAGAATCACTCTCAGCAGAATTCGGTACCATCCCATATCTGCACTATCTCCCATCGTAAATTGTTAAAAGGAAATACCATCCCACTGTTTGGCTTCCATTTATAGAACTCTCTGAAGGAGCTGAATATACTCTTTAATTCTTATCTAATCAAGCTCTCAGCTGGTCTTACTTTGATCAAGCTCTCAGCCTCCCCACCCCCCACCCCAGAGAAACACGTCTTATTCAGATCACCAAAGCCAATCAGCAGGTCTCAATCATTATCCTACTTGACCCATAAGCAGATTCTGACATAGTTGATCACTCTGCTAGTGCCAGCACAGTGGCGACCTGCTTCTACTCAAATAGCCCATGTGCGACACTGTGTCCATCTACTCACCAGAGCCCAGGAGCTGAGTGTGCACAGTCTCATGGAAAATAATAACCGCAGGGCCCAGAGTGGATAAGGGCACATCGAGGCCACAGCGGGCAGTGGTAGCCTTGAGCTCCTTGGTAAAGTGCTTCAAGTAAGCTTCCGAGGCGTCCCCAAGGAACTTAAAGAGGTCATTATGCAGCCGATCTGCGTGAGTTCGATAGATGACGAGGTCTGAGATGGCCAGGACTTTAAGCAGCAGTCGTGTTCTCTGGCTTAGATTCACCGTAGCCCCTAAGAGCCCCTCCGTGTCTATCACCGCTACCTTGTGCACAGGGTCATAGGCTGCCCACACTCCCACGGTGCAGGACTCCTGGGCAGGGGAGGTTTTGAAGACTTCACGGCCGTAAAAAAAAGTGTGGTTTAGGGTATGAGACTTCCCATCGCCAGTATTTCCAAAAATGGAAACCACCTTCAGATGCTGATCAGGTTTGCAGTCCAATTTCCTAATAAAGTCCTCTTCATTAGTTACCTTCAAAACAAGCAATTGAAAAGGACATTAAAATTCAGAAACCACAAAACAGCTAGAAATATCTTCCTAGGGTCGAGGGTCCTCAGCTGACTTGTCAAGGTGGAGGAAAGAAAGATCTAGGGCAGAGGCCCTGCCCTACCTCCACCCTTAGCCAGGAGCTTCTGTAGCTTCAGTCAGTACAGCAACTTAATGGACATTAAAAGAGCTAAAACAATACAACTCTTAGGGAAAAAAACACAGGAGTTAACCTCTGTGACCTTGGATTAGGCAATGGTTTCTAAGGTAAGGCAAGCAATAAAAGAAAAATATATAAGTCGGAGTTGATCAAAACTAAACACTTTGTGCCTCAAAAAACACCAGGAGAGTGACTTGACAAACTACAAAAATGGAAAAGATTTGTAATTCAAGTATTTGATAAGACTAGAGTTCCAAATACACAAACAACTCTTACAACAATGATGATGCAACTCCATTAAAAAATAACCAATGAATTTGAATAGATATTTCTCCAAAGATATGCAAGTGACCAAAAACCACATGAAAGGATGCTCAATATCATTAGTCATTAAGGAAATGGAAATTAAAACCACAGTGAGATATTATTTCATAGTCAATAAATATTATACAGAAGTGTTAATAAGAATCTGGAGAAATTGCAAAGCTCATACACAGCTAACAGGATTATAAAATGGCACAGCCACTCTGGAAGACAGTCTGGCAGCTCTTCAAAACATTATGCAGTCACCATAGGACTCAGTAATTCCATTTCTGGGTGTATGACCAAGAGAACTGAAAACTAATGTCCACACAAAACTTGTATGTACATAAATGTTCACAGCAGCATTATCCATAATAGTCAAAAAGTACAAACAACCCAAAGATGCATCAGGTGATGAACCGATAAACAGAATGTGGTAGATTCATGCACTGAAGTAGTATTCAGACATAAGAATTGAGCCTACTTCCGCCCATTAATATATTACGCATTTGTTATTTTCGTCCTTAGGATACTTTTTTTTTTAAAGATTTATGTATTTATTTGAAAGAGTTACACAGCCGGCGCCGCGGCTCAATAGGCTAATCCTCCACCTGCGGCACCGGCACCCCGGGTTCTAGTCCCGGTCGGGGCGCCGGATTCTGTCCCGGTTGCTCCTCTTCCAGTCCAGCTCTCTGCTGTGGCCCGGGAGTGCAGTGGAGGATGGCCCAAGTGCTTGGGCCCTGCACCCCATGGGAGACCAGGAGAAGCACCTGGCTCCTGGCTTCGGATCAGCGCAGTGCGCCGGCCGCAGTGGCCACTGGGGGGTGAACCAATGGAAAAGGAAGACCTTTCTCTCTGTCTCTCTCTCTCACTGTCCACTCTACCTGTCAAAAAATAAATAAATAAATAAATAAATAATAATAATAAGTCACACAGAGAGAGAGGAGAGGCAGAGAGAGAGAGGGAGAGAAAGGGAGAAGAAGAGAGAGGTCTTCCATCCTCTGGTTCACTCCTCAATTGGCCGCATCAGCTGGAGCTGCACGGATCCAAAGCCAGGAGCCAAGAGGTTCTTCGGGGTCTCTCACGCGGGTGCAGGAGCCCAAGGACCTGGGCAATCTTCTACTGCATTCCCAGGCCATAGCAGAGAGCTGAATCAGAAGTGGAGCAGGAGCCGGGGCTATGGCATAGCGGGTAAAGCCGCCACCTGTAGTATCGGCATCCCATATTGGATGCAGGTTCGAACCCTGGCTGCTCCAGGCTCCTAACTTTGTATTGGCACAGCTCCAGCTCCAACTTGGGAGTGAACCAGCAGATGGAAGACCTCTCCCTCCCTCTCTCTCTGTCTGTATGTGTGTGTCTGTGACTCTGACTTTCACGTAAATAAATAAATCCTTAAAAAAAAAAAAAAGGGAAACAGCTGGGACTCAAACATTTTCCCTCTGAAAGTAATAAAAATTTCATTGTTCCCTAATAACATTTATGTATAAACGTCAAAAATAATTTTTGTGAAATGAAAGTAACTATTGAATAACATTTGCTTGACATTTCTGAATAGAAAAACAAAGGACTGAGGCACTGTTACACAGTACCACATGGACGACCTTGAAAACACAGGGGAGGGGGCCAGTGCTGTGACCGGCATCCCACATGGGCATTGGTTCGAGTCCTGGCTGCCTCCATTTCCAATCCAGCTCCCTGCTAAAGTGCTTGGAAAAGCAGCAGATGGCCCGGTCCCTGGGTCCCTGCACCCATGTGGGAGACCCAGAAGAAGCTCCTGGCTCTGGATCCTGGCTCTAACTTGGCCTAGCCTCAACTGTTGTGGTCATCTGGAGAGTGAACCAGCAGGTAGAAGATCTCTCTCTCTCTTGTCTGTAACTCTGCCTTTCAAATAAATAAATAAATCTTGAAAGGAAAGGAAAGAAAGGGGAGGGAAGGGGAGGGGAGGGGAGGGGGCCAGCGCCACGGCTCACTAGGCTAATACTCCGCCTGAGGCACCGGCACACCGGGTTCTAGTCCCGGTCGGGGCGCTGGATTCTGTCCCGGTTGCCCCTCTTCCAGGCCAGCCCTCTGCTGTGGCCCAGGAAGGCAGTGGAGGATGGCCCAAGTGCTTGGGCCCTGCACCCCATGGGAGACCAGGAGAAGCACCTGGCTCCCGGCTTCGGATCAGCGCGGTGTGCTTGCCGCAGAGGCCATTGGAGGGTGAACCAACGGCAAAAGGAAGACCTTTCTCTCTGTCTCTCTCTCTCACTGTCCACTCTGCCTGTCAAAAAAGAAAGAAAAAAAAAAAAGAGAACAGCTAGAGAAATGCAGACGTGAACCTAGGCAAAGCCCTCATTTCCTGCACCTCACCAAGATGGCGAATCGCTCATTATTCCGCTAATGACATCACTACTGTTCCATCAGCTAGAGTCTTCAACAGGGCGGGCATTGTGCTGCAGTAGGTTGAGCTGCCCTTGGGTCGCATTCATCCCATTTGAATGCAGGTTCCAGCCCCAGTTACTTCAAGCTTCCACACCAGCTCCCTGCTAATGTACCTGGAGGCAGATAACAGCCCCAGGACTTGGGTCCCTGCCACCTACATGGGAGACCTGAATGGAGTGTCCGGCTCCTGGCTTTAGTCTGGCCAAGCTCTGGCTGTCGTGGGCATTTGAGAAGTGAAACAGTGAATGGAAATTTTCTGTCTCCCCTCTCTGTTGTAATGCCTTTCAAATAAATTAATCTTAAAAAAAAAAAAAAAAAGGCTTCAAGCTCACGAGAGCACCACCAACTCACTGCAGCAACACCAACAGTGCTCTTCCTTAAATGCACGAGGGAACACTCTGTCTTGTCTTTGCACTAAAGACAAATACAGGGGCTGGCGCCAGGGCATGGTAGGTTAATCTTCCACTTTCGGCACTGGCATCCCACATAGATGCCGGTTCTAGTCCCGGCTGCTTCTCTTCCGATCCAGCTCACTGGAAGAAGCCCCTGGCTCCTGGCTTTGGATCAGAGCAGCTCGGGCCATGGCGGCCATTTGGGGAGGGAACCAATGGAAGGAAGACCTTTCTCTCTATCTCTCCCTCTCACTGTAACTCTACCTCTCAAATAAATAAATAAAATCTTTAAAAAAAAGAAAAAAGACACATACAGCCTGACACCTTGTAGCTCAATAGTGAATGAGCGAATGACACCAAGCACCTTGCTGGGCACTTCAATCGCTTTTCTCCCTGCACCACAGGACTAAACACAGCGCAGCATTCGATCAACTCGGTGAAGGCCTCACTGATCTGGCAGACAACTGCCAACAAACAAGTTACCCAGAACCGCCCATTTTGGACCTGTGTCACTCAGCCAGCCTGGGTCCAAGCTGCTCAGCTGGCCAGCAAGACAAACAAAACAAAAGCTCCGCAAACCTCCACCAGCGAGGAGTCAACTAAGGTCAGGGTGGCAGCTGGAGAGCCACCCATCTTCTCAAACAGCCCTGTGGAAAGACCAGGCCTAGGGGCTTTCTCTCCATGAAAACCTACCCTGTCGTGAATCTGTTAACCTAGAAAACAACAAATGCTATCTGGAATTCATGAGTGGGCACCTAAAAAGTGCACGCGGGAGCCTATACAGAATGAACATCTCAGGATGCACGTTAAGTGCGCACCTTACATAAGATAGCTGCTTTGGGATGAAACTAAAGCATTCCCTGACACCATCTGGGGGTGCTGTGTTGGCATCTGGCGTCCTGTTCACATCTTGGACCCATGTATGTGTGTCCAGGGTGAGGCACTCAATGCACTAGGCTGGCTTTCCTACAGACAAGCTGCGGACGATCATTTAACAAGCACTGATTGTCAATTTTCATGTGTAAACTGAGGCTCTAACCACATCTGCCTCCCCTGACTGAGCAGCGTCTGCCAATGAGATCAAAAGGTAAGCGAGAAAATGCCCAGCAAACTCAAACCATGCTTGCTGCTTCCTCCTGCATTGTACACTGTGTTTCCCTATTTATCTCTAAACCTGTCCTTAACCCGTGGTTGCCTTCCCCTGAGCCAAAAAGAAGAGAACTGCCCAGGCCTTGGTGGTGGCAAGACTGGTTTCCCCTCAGAGGAGGCAAAGCTAAAGAAAAGATAAGAAGATTCCCTTTGACTAAGGAAGGAAAGGGCCCAGAGGCTCCACTCTACTCGTTCTGCCTGTTTGCAATCAGTGACCCCACTCTGCTCCACTGCTGTAGAGAAATCAGCTCCCTGACCCTGAGCTGCCCGCTGGCCACCCCACCAGATTCCACAGCATGTCTGAAATGGCCCTTGGCACTGACACACCTGCAGAAGGAGTGACCCTGAAGCCGTCCCTCCCCCACTTCTACCTTCTGTCCTCCCCAAGCAGGCAAGCCACTCACACCCAAGTCCACGACGGACTTTGCTACTGAGGCCTCAGCTGAATGAGACAGCGACAGACTGTCTGCCAGACAGGCCTGGGGACACGGAAGGAACTAGATGAGATGAAGTGTGCAAAGGATGCGGCACACCGCCTGGCACACAGCAAGCACTCGAGA